AAGGCATGGGCCACCACCGCCCCGGCTACATTACAATTCTTAACAGTAGCAAAGTTACTGTTACAAAGTAGCAACGAAAGCAGTTTTATGGTTTGGGGGTCACCACAGCATGAGGAAGTGTATTGAGTCACAGCGTGAGGAAGGGTGAGAATTGAGAACCTCTCTGCTCTAGAGGCAAGCCAGATCACTGGACAGTAGATTTTTCTTTTCCTTTTCTTTTTAATTTTTGTTTTGTTTGTTTTTGTTTGTTTAGAGAATGTCTTGATCCATGTCTCCCTGCCTGGCCCGGAATTTGCTACATATAGAACATGCTGCTCTTGAACTCACAGCAAGTCCTTCCTGGGCTTATAGACGTGTTCTATCATGCCCAGCTCCAGTGAGGAATTTTCAAAAACATGTTTTAAACTCTGGTCTTACTGTGAACTCCCCACTCTCTCTTCTCAGACACTGCACAGGGCGGGGTCAACTCTGGACGGGCATGGAAGGCCCAGGGCTGGCCCAGCTGTGTCTGAGATGAGGAGGCACATTTCCTAACCAAGGATCTTCACTGGGCAGTGGTGGCACACGCCTTTAATCCCAGCACTTGGGAGGCAGAGGCAGGCGGATTTCTGAGTTGGAGGCCAGCCTGGTCTACAGAGTGAGTTCCAGGATAGCCAGGGCTACACAGAGAAACCCTGTCTCGGAAAAAAAAAAAAAATCAAGGATCTTCATGTGGAGCCCAGGCTAGGCATCCTCCTTGGTCCAACCTGAGGTTGCTAGGATAACATGTGTCACCACCATCTTGCTTAGATTGATGGAAAATATAAATGGATCTCTGGACACTCAATGTCTGTAGAGTCCCCTGCAGTCCCTTCTACAACACAAACATAACTCCAGAGGGGTCTGTATTCTTCAGTATCTTTTTTTTAAATTAAATTACATTTATGCATTTGTGCAGATGTGAGTGCATGCTTGTGACAGGATGTGTGACAGTCATCAGAGGGAAACCTGTTGGAGTCCAAACTGTGGACCAAACTTGGTGGTCAGGTTTGGTGGCCAGTGCCTTTAACTGTTGAGCCGCCTCACTGAGTCCAGGGTAGTCTTTAAGACTGATCTCTTTATTTGTGGATCTGTGTGTGTGCGTCTCTGTGTGTGTGCGTCTGTGTGTGCATGCCTAAGGAAGTCAGGATGAGGAAGTCAGTGTAAGGTGCTGTGGAGCTGGAGTTACAAGCAGTTGTGAGCGGCTGGGAACTGAACTCTGGCTAAGAGCAAAAGCTCTTGACTTCTTATCCACCTCTCCAGTTCTGCTTTATACATTTATTGTGGGGGGGGGGGAGGTGGGTGCCTGGAGGTTGGAGGACAGCTTGCAACAATGTGGGCCCTGGGAATTGAACTCAGTTTCCAGACTTGGCAGCAAGCACCTTTAACTCACTGAGGAATCTCACTGGGACCAGGCTCTTTTTAAAAATCATCATCATCATCAAAGATATGGCTTCATAATAACCCAGGCTATCCTTGAATTCTTCCTGTAGTGGAGGTCAGCCTTGAACTTCTGATCCTCCTGCTTCCATCTCTGCAGCTCTGGGACTATGGGTGTGTTCTACCAGGAAGTGTTTATCTGGTGCTGGGGATTGAACCCAGGGCCTCAGGCATGCTAGGCACACACTCTACTCCTGGATCCATTTCTCTGGCCCCCTTCTTCAGACTCTTCTTTGAATTTTGCCTTTCATGGCCAATAATTATTTCGAGATAGAGCCTCATTAAACAAACAGTTCAGCTCTCAGAATCTCTCATCAGTGGCTGTTACAAGTCTTGTCATCAACCTGGAATAAACGGCTTATCCTGGCTTTTGGAGGCAGCGATGCGCTCTTTGCTTTCAGGGCTGAGGGCTTGTTCAAACAACTCTCCTGTCTTCTGTTCAGTGGCTCTGTCATGTCTGAAGTCCCAAGGCAAGTCACTTTGTCTCCTCTGTAGACAACAGCCAGTCATCATAGGCCAGCACTGCTCCTTAGAGGAGGCTAGCCAAGCCCTTTTCTTCTTTGGAACATTGCAGAATGTTGTACTCCCTGTTCAAGCCAGTTCCTGGTACTAATTTGAAAGAACTGCCCAACCTGGTAAGCCACCCCGCCATGGGCTGGGGCTGATGGGGCAGCCGCCCACGCTGCAGGTTCTACTGAGTCTTTGATGAGATCCAGCAGCCCTGTTCCAGGAGGGCTCACTACCCTTAGGGCATCATGGGATACAGAGCTCCCTTCAGTTACCACATATCGGGGAGTTCAGGGGGAACTTCCCAGGGGGGAGGTGAGGGAAGGGCATTGGAGGCAGATGGCAGCCCCTGCAGATCAGAACAAATCAGGCAAGAACCAGAGGTTCCCACGTGGTAGGCAGCAGAGGTGACACTGAGAAGCCCAGATTGAGGTTGGCAGAGTCATGGAGGTCACTGGACACAGTGCTGGAGGAGTCCAGGACTAGAACGATCAGGAACAGGATGATACCTCAAGGAAGGAGTGGCACAGAGGGGACAGGAGCCTGACAGTGGCTGAGACTGGGGTGGCATCTGAGATGGTGGAAAGAGAGGAGGTGGCTGTATCTACCTAGGGGTCTTGGGCTTGCAGGTACTGTGTGCCCTCAACAACCCCGGTGGGTCTGCTTCCTAGCTGGGTGCAAAGGCAGGGAAGGAAGGTGGAAGAGCTCATGTTTCACGGATTCGGGGTAACTCTAGTTCCTGTCACTCAGGACTTTGATCGTCACAAGGGTTCTGAGATGCAGCTTCCATGAGGTGACTTGTTTTTGTTTTGACATTTTAAATTTCTTGTGTGTGTGTGTGTGTGTGTGTGTGTGTGTATCAGAGGACAACTTGTAGGAGTCAGTCCTCTTTCTACTCAAGTGGGTTCTGGAAATCAGGCTCAGACCACCAGGGTTGACGGCACGCACCCTCACCCTCTGAGCCATCTTTGCTAGTCCTGACAGTCTGCTTTTGTAAAGTGGATGAGGACTAGAAGTCTGGAGACCATGAAGCCAAACAGTAGATGGCAGCTGTGGTTGCTGGCCAGAGCCTCCACATGGCTTCAGAGTCACTCTGCTGGGGCCCTGACCAGGTTATGGGAGTCCCATGAACCTTTCTTTCTATAAACCATGGGTAAGCCACAGTGGGGACACTGGGGATCATCAGCGTAGTCAGAGCTGTTGCTATGGAGAGAGGAACTTTTCACCTCCCTCCAGCATCCCTGGCAATGCAGAAGGTGAGTGATAAGAAAGCCACTGTCATGGTTTCCTCCACAGAGGGGCCTTTTCGAAGGTTCAGGGGTGGGGACCGCACTCAGAGGCTGCTGGCTGAGGCGTTCCGAACGCACATCCTCTTCTGCCTGCTGGTCCTCTTTCTCAGGGAGGGTGCAGCTCCATACCCACAGGTTCATCCGGTCAGTGGGGGTATGGCAGCTACTGATCGCTGGAGGAGCTCACTGGCCTAGGGCTGGGACCAAGAAGGTGCTGATGGCCACCAAGTCCCTGTTGCTACAAGCCACTGTGACCTTGTTGTTCATCTTCCTCAGAGGTGAGCATGAGGCTCTGTGGGTTTTTCTCCTCCTCCTCTTCTTCTTCCTCCTCCTCTTCTTTGAGGCAGGGTCTCCTATGTAGCTGTGGCTAGTTTGGAGGTCACTGTATAGACCAGGCTGGCCTGGAACTCACACATCACAGATCTGAGTGCTGCGATTAAGGGCTCATGTCACCATGCAACTTGTCTCTTTGAGACAGGGTCGTGTCACATAGCTCATTAGCTTAGAACTTGTGTTCCTCCCAAATGCCATGCCCTGCCCCCTTCTGAAGGAGGCAGGTAAGTATCTTTGGGGGTAGGAGAACACAGGTGACTTTGACAGGAGTTAGTACAACCTAGGACCAAGGCAATGGTCCAAGCCAATACCCAATGATGTCAGGGAGAGATAGCACCAAACCTAAAGCCAGCCTCCGGCCTGCAGAGAAGAGTGGCCTGAGCTGAGCATGTAAACCAGTTGCTGCACACACCCCACTGTGCAGAGCCAACAGGAAGGTCTAGGGCTCCCCCAACAAAGCACAGGGTTTAGAGAAGGTGTCCACAGGAGCTGTAGCCAACTTCCCTCTAGTGACCAGCCCCAACCAAATTCAGCAGTAGGGAGAGTGTCCACTGTTCTGACGGAGGATAAACATCGGCCCTAATCTCTGAGGAGCTCCCATAGCGCCTTCCTTCAGAAGCACCCAGCCCAAAAGACAGACAGGAGACTGAGCAATGGTTCACAGCCTCACACCCTACATTTGCCTCCCCTCAGCCCAGCGCTGGGTGGGGAGGTGACTTGTTGTGTGTTCCCTCGTTTATATGTTGATACCCCAACTTCACGTGACTGTTTAAAGATAAGGCCTTTAAGACAATGTTGAAATGAGGTCAGTACGGTGACCCCAATCCCACGGAGCTAGTGCCTTCTAAGATGAGACTGGGACTCAAGGAGAGACACCAAGGGGTGCACTGAGGAAGACTCTGGAGAAACTTGGGGGGGGTGTTGCCTGCTGACATCCACATAATCTCTCTCTGTTGCAGATTCCAGAACCCTGAGGATATGTCAGTCAGCCTGAGCAACTCTCAGAAAGAAAGCAAGGAAACAGGAGCCT